GGAGATCTAAGCTAGTGTGAGAACCACAAAGGCATCACGCTACTGTCAGTACCAGAAAACGTTTTCAAGTGTTGCTGAACCGGATGAAAAACTCAGTAGACGCCCAACTTCCGGATCAACACACCGAGTTCCGTAAATATCGATCGTCTACAGACCAAATCGCAACATCGTTGAACAACCAATTGAATGGAACTGATCACTATATATCCACTCTCTTGACTATGAGAAAGCAGTTGACAGTGTAGATAGGAGGTCTTTATGGAACCTTTTGCGACACTATGATGTAAATGGCTGAGAAAATCGTCAACATCATCCGGAATTCATACGACCAACTACATTGCAAAGTCGTACAATGAGGTCAGCTGACAGACGCATTTCAAGTGATGAGCGAAGTCAGACAAGGCTGCTTACTCTCACCTTTTCTCTTTCTGGATTATAAAGACCTTCACATCTGAGGAGAAGCACGGAATACAATCGACAACTTGGATGCAACTGGACAATTTCGACTTCCCATATGAATTGACCTTTCTATTCCATACGCACGAACAAATGCAGGTCAAGACAACCAGTGTAGCAGAAGCCTCTGCATCAGTAGGTCTCAACATAAACAAAAGAAAAAGCACGATCCTCAAATAGAATACAGAGAACATCTGCCTGATCACACTTGATGGAAAAACCCCAGGAGGGGTGGAAACGTTCACATATCTAGACAGCATCGTCGATAAACAAAGAAGATCCGATGCAGATGTGAAGGCACGTATTGACGAAATAAGAGCAGCATTCCTACAACTGAAGAACATGTAGAACTCTAAACAACTGTCGGCCAATCTCAATCTCATGAAGTCGAGGAGAAAAGAAGACATTAGAATAGGTATTGGTTAATTATTACATATAGTATTTTAGCATACAAAATGTACATATGCCGAATCGAGTTGTTTTCAATAAATGCAACCACTGATTAGTATGAAATTTAATAATACTTTTGGAAAATGAGCGTATTAGTTCTCGTTCATGATCTCTTTCCACAACTTTCAGTACTTTTAGTCACCTCTGTCTCATTGTAAATGTTATATGATAGTGTCCTAATTTCTAGATAACTAAGCTGTGTGATGAACTGCCACTTTGAGAATTCTGTCGTCAGTGGTCGAAGACGACTCGCACAGTTATTTGCATCAATGTTCATAAGACTTCGGATACCTCTGTGAATATTTAACTGAATTTTCTGAATCGATCGGTGTACACTGCTCTCATCTCTATGCAAACCGATGAATGTAGGCAGTTGCTGGAAAATATCAACATGTGTGCAATCGAGAACAGCTCAAATATTTGAAAACACGACAAGCAAGTAGCATTTTATTTCTCAGTATCATCCACCATCATTTCATTAATGGCCACATACACATTTCATTCTTATTTCACTGGCAATATCACTGCCAAATATATCCACCTAATATTTATATGCGTCTAAATCGATATGAGTGTGAGTAGAGTTATGCGACTTAGAAACCATGACTTTAGTGATAGTGAAATGTTTTGATCGCGGGAATGACTATCACACACCACGACAGTGATATTGATCTGAAAAGTAATGTTCTGATACAGAAGTTCGTATTCGAGGTAGCTACAGTAGACTAATGAATTAATGCATGCATATACAAGTTTAGTATTAGGTTAATAATATACCATAAGAATTTCAAAGTATTAGTTAGAGATAAAGGTAAGAGTTATGTCGCTAATGTTATCAAGAAAGTACGTTCACACACCATCTAACTTCACAGATATAGTTAATCATCTTATTTTACTATGTTTCTGTGTGTGTGACATTCACTATTCTACATCACTATCAAAAAGATTCCAATGAGAAACAATTCACTCTGTATGCTTTTGATGGAAATTAGCTGAAGGTTGTTTTTTACTAACTAGAAACGGACTAGTAACGGACTGTACAGCAATTCACGACCAAAATATCTGTCAAATTTGTGTAGACCACAATTAGTTAACTACTATTCTGTGTGACTTCAATCAACTTGTGTGTGTATGTGACCGTCTGAAAATTATCTCATCATATTTACAAACACTGTAATATTGCACGTATAAAGTATTATTAACTTATTCTCCCAATTTCTGTTCACAGGCATAATGGTTTGATACCCAATGAACACTTCAAAACTACTTCTGGAACCCCATTCCAAATAACCACACTATAAATACCTTGTAAGCGGTAAGCGAAAATCAAGAAAATTGAGACCACATTATGATAGTGGGGGGGGGCATTTGATCCAATCTTTTAGGACTATATTTTAGGATTCTCTTCCAAGGTACCTTTACTCATCAAACGTTGCTTTTCCTTTTCATTGAATTATTTTGTTCTTCCCCAATCATCCACCTGATAGTACAATGTTTGCCATTTTTCATATTGTGTTTAAATCGTCTATATAGATTTTATTCCGAAATAATTTTCTGCAATACACTCAGTACGCTCAAAGCGCTTTTGATCTACGAAATCAAACTGTGATTCTTTGACTCCGTTTTCAGACCAAATAGTTCGATTTGTGACGTATCCGTGTTCTAAAAGAGCGTCTTTTACTATAGTTTGGTTAAAATAAACAACTGTTGTCAATAATTAGTGCGTGGTAAAAACAGAGATGTTTATAAGAGGAAGTAATGTTGTAAATGCATTATATGTCAAGTTCAATGCGTTATTTTGAGCTTGTTATCAGTGATTTTTAATAACAAATTTAACAGTGTTTGATTAAACAGATACATAACTTTTCCTCATAAATTGGATTTATTAAGGAATTTGTTAGAAAAATCCATATGTTTCATACATGCGTCTTTGGTGTTATATTGTTGTGCTGGAAACGAAGAGGAAAGAGAAGAGCTCAATAAATGGAACAGATATCGTTTGTGACTAGTGGATTTGAGTTATTTGTGATGGTAAAGATAAGACATGATTATTTTGACTTATTTCATTTTATCGTATCAATTTTTTACATGAGGACATGAGTGAGCTATGATAACAAACGGATAAATAACTTTGTACGTGGAGGAAATTCAGAAGTGCTGAAAGTTTTTGATTATTTGGGATTTCCAAAATGTCGTGAGGGTTATATACTGTTTGGATACTCAACCGGCATATTTCACGGCAATTATTATAGATCTTTTCATTATTATAATTTTCATAAGATATGAGTAAACGTTTTTAAACATGATAGTACAGTTCAGTTTTTAAGAGGATTTCTTTGTAAAGAAAAGAACCGATTGAAAGTTGCAAATATGAATGGAATAGTATAATGCTTAGGACCAGGACATCAGTATCATTTATTAGTTGTATTCAGCTGGACCATAAGGATTCGCAAGTAAATAAAATGTTCTGGCTTACAGACATGGGTTGACTGAGGCCAACTTCCCAGTAGAGCAATAAGTAAGTAAGAAAACATAACATTCGAACGTTAATAAATTTAAGATGCCAAGTATTTTCATACTCATAGAACATGAACAAGAAGGAACTCACTATATTTCAGGATAGTATGAGTTAAGCAGTATCCATAGGTCTTGTGAGTTATCTTTACCCAAGAAATAGAACTTAAGAACAGACATGGAACCTCATGAAAAGTGATGGACTCCGATTCTGAATATGACGAGTGGGTGTATAAGATCATGACCATATGTTTTGATTATTAATGACAGTAGGGCTCTGATATTTTCATGATCAGTCTAGATATTAGACAGCCCATAGGAAAGTGCCTCGGAGCTTGGATGTGAGTACTGGTAATAGTTGACGAAGCTTTGTACAGTCTAAAAAATATTCATTATTCTTTTGAATTTGGTGTTAGTGTCACGGTTACGGATAGGCATTGTCAACATGTCACACTACAAAATATATCGTAATGTATGAAACTCCCAGTACGTTGGTTTTTGTGGTTTTACAGTTGGTAGAGTATATGCTTTGTATATGAGTCTGTAGGCAGGGTCACGGATCATAATTGGCAAGGATGTCAGAAATGAAAAATCATATAATATTTTGGAGAAAAACATTGGATTGTCCGATAAACAACGGGGTTGTAAAGGTCCTAGTAGAGGTGCTTACATTCAGCTATGTGGCCGAGAGTGCAGTCAAATTTTAGCACTAGACATGTGAAGCTCCGTTTGACATCTTCTACTTGTAACTTTTCTGCGGCTTATGATGGCAGGTAAACTATAAACATAGAAAAACTTTAATAAGAATATAAAAATACTAGTGGTTAGATGTGATATTTTTCTTCAATGCCTCTTCCAACGACGTATTCTGGCTTGTTTTTACGCTGTACATCAGTCTAAATTACAGCCTTTTTGACAGTCTTAAAGTACAATTGTGTAGTCTAGAAAGATTATTATTAGCACACAAACAATACGAAAATCTTGAAAAAATTGAAGAAATAACAGTATTTAGTCATGGGCTTCGCATCTCGTAGTCCTTAGAAAGCTTTCTTCTCCTCTGATGTTCGTCAACATGGGATCCATGGAAGCTGAAAGCTAGAGTACAAGAATATAAGCAAGGTGCTGAGTTACTCATTTGTATCAGATGATGTGTGGGTACGCTGTGCTACTCATCCCTTGAAACTTCCAGGCAGCTTAGACCAAATGCTTCTCGACATGTCTAATAAGTATTCGAACTCCCTCATTTTTGACTTCTGATTTTACCGGGTTAGCATACTTTCAGGAGTTTGACATACAGTTTGGAGCTCCGACATTTGTACTGCCCGTTTGTATTTTATTGTTTATTCACGAAATGAACCATAATAATCATTTAGATCTATAAAATAACAGAATGAAAAAATTGGCTTCTCAAAATCATTGTTATATTGCGAATTAAAGACAGGGAAGTTATGTATATAACTATCCACTGCACGTTTGTAAGAGATATGAAACCACTCGCAAATATGTATATATAGTTTGCGTAAAGTTTATCCTGACGTAACATATACGAAAGTGGTCCAGATTTAATATGAGGCATCAAACGTTGCAAAAGTATTTGAGGGAAGGAAATAAATTCACCCCTTGTACCATAAATGCCAAATTGTCTTGTAAATTGGTTTTGTTTATTTCTGTCGATCTTTTGACCTTTGACGAACAGTCAAAATGTTACACTTTCAATACACATACTTGAAAACGTGATATAATTGATGTCAATGAACTTTAGCTGTATAAAATTAGTCTGGTTGTAACTATGACTCGGTCGTTAATTTTAAAAAACTATGAGTCTCTGATTCTCATCGTTATCGTATCACTAATTTTCAACACAAGTGCTAAAAATCTTACCAAAGAGATATGTCGACTGGCAGTACAAGAAGCGCTTTCTATGGGATTAAGTTTTCCACAGCCTGAAAAGTTACCAATATTTTGTAAGTCATATGGTCACGTCTTCTGTCAGACTTTTAAATTTCGTCATTTAATATGACAACAATGCATTTTATATTTATTTCTGATTTGTAAGGGATTTTGACAAAGGAAATTGAAAGAGATAGAAATATTCATTCATAAAGAGCAATACAGTTCTCAGACTAAATGCTTTTTTAGGATCATTAGTCATCAAGCAATTTGAAAAATAACCCAATGACTCTAGCTGACGTGTATTATCCGGAATGTGTTTACCGTCTTTAAAAGAATGTTTTATTGGAGAGTAAACATCATATTTTTGGTTATTTCACAGTACCAGGTCAATAAATGTGTAATAATGAGGCTTAATCAACATAAATACAGCAAATTCTTCCCGTTTGCTTCAAGAAAATTTGTAACGAATCTAAATTTTCATGCGCTAATAGGTGAAGAACGTTTGTTAGCATAGCAATTGTGTGAGGTTTATATGTTGCTTTACAAACCTACCTTTGTTGTCTATAGCGATATTTTGGTAACAGTATAAATGCCTTTGGGTGTGAATTGAATATTATTTCTAAATTTGTCACTGTTGTTCAACCCATCAAAAAATGAAACTCATTTGTTTTTGTATGTAGTCTGTAGAACTTATGTTGATCAGTAATAAATTTAGTAACATTAAGTAAAAGATGGCCTTTGAAGTTCGTATCTTTTAATCGTCTATGTTTCAAATCGCTCTTAATTATTTCATAGTCTACATCACAGACGGATATTAGTTGGACAATCAAGAAGGACTGTAAAGTTGTTTCATTTTGATGTGAGACTTCTCAGTGGTTTATATCCAGGTATCAAATTCAACACCTTCAAGACTTAGAGCGAGCGCTTAACTTTCAGATCTCTGAGGTATGGTATCTTTATTCTCGTGGTTCATACTTAATACGCCGTTGGATTATTTTAAAGAATTATTCAGCAGGCTGCCAGAGTTATGTTTCGATATCAGTTCTTTTAGTGGTTTATGTCGACGATCTAGTCTTGCAAACACATAAATACATTACGCTGTCGTATGCGGTATATTATCTATAATATTTACGTGTGAAACATAAATTATTGTTGAAAACCACAAATTCAACCCATATAATGGTAATATGATAATGTAACCTTTACATTAGAATTATTTGTTTTCTTGATAGGAAGTGACAAATATTTTTGGAAGCTCACCATAAATGTGTGATGAAATGTTTGTTAGGTGCGGATTCAAACATATGACACTGTTATCTAAGTTGCTGTACAAGAGGTGTATACTAGACTTCAAATTTCAAGTGTGCAAGAGTATTATGTGAAAAGTTCTATATGTTAGTTGGCGTTAGAATTTCTCAGTGGTTACATATGCTAAAAATTTAAACAACCCAAGTCTAAATCCCACCGAGAACATCAGTCACCCAAAGATCTGAAGTACACCTCTCAGAATAGTGTCAGTTAGCATGAAACCTTGGTCAAAAGTTGCCCATTGACTTCCTTTGACCACATAGCATCAAAACGTAGTACAAATAATTTTAAATCGCTTAGACCAATGGATAAAATTCAGTCGGCATCAAAAATAGATAAAAACGATATCTGTTATTACTCAATAATTAGTCATTGTAGAGTGAGTTATGTTTAAATTTCATCATTAACGGTTAATCTCACAATAACTCTTTTCAAGATCGACACTTATCACGAGGATATAAATCCAGCTCCATTGATAATGATGCTTCATTATAAAACTAAACGTTGTCCGTACTTACTTTGTTCGTTAAAATTCAACAATTTCCACCACCCTATTACTTACTTACTTGACCCCGTTATCTCTCGTGGGGTATAAGAAGATGAGAAGAATTCTTCAACCTGTTCTGTACTAGGATCTTCTTTGTGTTTGTTGTTAAGTGCTATTCATTCTTATGATGTATGCCTTTGATTCCTGTGCTACGTATTCTTTGATCTGCTTTTTTTCCTTTGGCCTTGGGGATTCAAAGTTAGCGCTTGGTTTATGATGTAATCGTATATTGGTAATTTAGTTATTATTCAACTTTATAATTAATGCGCAATTACTAAAATTAATTTTTTTCTTTTATGTATACACTATATTCCAATTTGATAATACAAACTATCCTATTTATTTACAAATCAAACATTTTGAATATACCCAGTTATGTTTTGTTAATGGCACCAGCTAGATATATCCACGACTTAATCTTTAGTACACTCACTCACTCGATAACTCTCAGTTTCTGTTAGTCTTGTTTTATATTCTTTTCTGTGGAACAAAGAGAAACTGTTTTCTATTGACTTCCTTTAGGTATTTTTGATATTTTAGTGACAACTTTAGTGCGGAAGAGAATCCTGGTTTTAAAGCTTTACTCCTATTGTAGTACTCCTATTTTCTACCTTCAGAAAAGGTTGCTTTTTACCACTTGACAGCATCAATTATTTTTGTTTTTTCTGTTGGTAGTTTTAAAGTCTAGGTACTATTTTTATTTAGGTGCATTTTTTCTCTGATCTCAATATTATCTGCTTGACGTACTAACAGTCATTGTGAAGATTGTGACGTGTCTCAGTGTGGGCATGGCTGAGCAAAAAAGAGAAACTAATCTTTCTATGAACATAGTTCTATTCATTTTACTTAAGGAATTAGACCTTTATCTTTACTTTATGAGTATTTACGTGTATATCATTATTACCATTGAAGTGGATTATGTATAATGATAATCTTCTGGTTCTTGTTTTGCACCAAAGAATTTATTCTTTCATTGTATCACGAACACTAGATTTACGGCAGAAATATATTTCAAATTGCTCATTTAATTTACTTACTAATGTTAGTATATTGATTTACCAAAATATCACTTACTTATTTTAAAGATTAAAACGAATTGAGGGCAATTTTTGTATCACGAAACCGATGTCGTCTAAATAGTCGCTGAATATTACGAAACATCAGAGAGTTGTTTGTATTTCGTTTGCGATGGCCGGACAAAGTGAACCCAGAACTTCATAGTTTAGAGGTTAACGCGGTATCTGGAATTTACCAAGTTCTGATTTCAGTCAATTTGTGTTATATTTACTTATTTACTTTGATACCAAACTTGGAGCATGGACCACTGACCAGGGCTCACCAAATAACTCTGTCATAGCTGCTCCTTTCCAGTTGTTGTCAAGTGCTAATGATAGTTTTGATGTTTACCTTCTGTTACCGACTCAATGTTTTATTTGATCGGCATCTTCTCCTAACACTTTGAGAGTTCTATATTGGGGCTTGCCTAGCGATGCAATTTGATGGTTTCCGTGGTGTATCCTATACATTCACATTGTTTTTCTAAATTTCCTCCTCAGCTGATAGCTAGTTTAGTCTCTCAAAAAGTAAGTTATTACTGATGGTTTCCAAATAACCTTGCCTGGACAACCTTTTGTTGTCTCAGTTGTGAAAAAAATACCAAAACAACTCTACTGAAGTTATCCTCTTTTGTTGTGGTTGTATCGAATGAGTTTCATTCGTTCCAAATAGAGCTAAGTTGAATCGTTTCATTTCCGCCTCTATTTGAATGATTATCCTGGCATTCCATATAGTTCCATCATCCCATATACCGTACTAATTGTTTTCGCCGTTATCATAAGGGGCCCCAACCTAGCGAATCCCGGAACATCTCCGCTTCCTTTTTGAGACAACATTACTCTTTCATATCAGGACCCTTTAACGTTCAGAAGATAGCTAAAATAGTTTTTTGCAATTAGCGCCTTTGTAACGAGGTTACATTTTACGAGGTGGACTCGTTAACTCTTCACCCAACTATCCTAGTTTACCTGGGATAAGAATTAGTAGAAATCCTAGACAGCTTTAGTCAGAGTTAGTGTGCGGTATAGATCATTTCTTATACATGACTAACACATAGAGATTGTGTATTTCTCACTGTGAGCTATTGAAGAATCTAAATATTACACAAAATGGATGTCAAGTAGATTCAAGTTTTTAATGGTGTTCCAGTTATTACTTTTATATAATTATCGTTACATTAGGTCTGTAGAAAGCAAAAATCACTTTGACAGATTCGAATAAACCCAATGAAATTCGCTCACCTTTGATACGATGTTTGTAGCTAATAAACATTATCTTCAAGATATTTATTTATTTTAATTCATAAATATTGGTTCAAAGAGGGAACCAAATGCATATGCGCCACATAAGTCACTTGGCTTGTGTGTGGACTGTGAGTCTGTCTGGATGCCCAGGGAAACAAAGGTGGCTCTCTTATGGGTCCACGCCTGGAGCCTTTGATCTGAAGGTCTGATCTACAAGGCAATGCAGCAACTTCAAGTCCCTTGATAGCCCGTGACCAGCAACTGGTCCATACACCATTTGTTCTCTCAGGATCCTGAAGCCCATGTGCACCATTTGTTTGGAATCAGGGTTTTCCAACTCCCTTAGTTGGGTCCTCCATATTTACCAATCCGGTTAAGGCGCCAAACACTCGCTTTTCGTCCTCTCAATTAGGTAAACAACAGTAGTGTGGCGAGAAGGCAGTGAGTAGAACCTCCCTGGCAGTAGCTGTATACGCTTGGACATGTGAGAGCATTTCTAGAGAGATAGCTAACTCTCCCCATCTTTGGTCGTAACAGGGTAGCTGGGTGCATCAAGATAGATATTTCACATTCAATTCAATAAAAAAAACATTAGTCACCGTAAAATATTTCTTCATCGAATACAAACCATTGCTATTAATTTAATGCAAAGTTAATAGTCAGAATTTTAAGAAATGTAACTAATCAACTTAAAATATCCTCTAGTTCCTATAAACAGTAGCTTTATAAAAAGAAATAAATTAAATTAAATAGTACAGTTTAGATATTATACAAAACTGTCAAATATTTTAACAGGAAAATCAATTGTATGAATGATCAGTTTGAATTTAATTAGATTTCTTTAAATAATTCTTTTCTCTCAATCTTGTTGGTATGGTTACAATTTTTATCAAATATTAAATGACATAATATATAT